TGGCGACATAAATATATGTTTTTTAAACAATTAGTTATGATTTTTAATATATTAGCTTTTGATTGGTTTTAACATGTTAATAAGATTTTTTAATTTGTATCTTTAAGATACATATTAAATTTCATTAATTTTATTATTTATAATTAAATTTATATAAAATTTAAATAAAATAAAATATAAAATGTAAAAATATAATATAATATAATATTTATACTCAAAATTAATAAAAATATATGAATCTAAAATAAAATTTTATATAAAATTAATTAAAAATACCTTAATTAATAAATTTTAATTTGTATCTTAAACAAACCTTATATTAATTAACAAATATAAATTATTTTTTAATTATTAATAAATAACTATAACTGTTAATGAAGTATTTTTTTAATTATTAATAAATAACTATAACTGTTAATGAAGTATTTTTTTAAAATTAAATTAGATAAATTAGTATTTTTAAAATAAAAATAAAAAAAATTATGAGTCACAATAATTTTCTTGTCCGGCAATAACCATACCCATAATTATCATCAGCAGGCTAAGTCCACTGGAGGCAGGGGTGATGGGGAAGATAGACCCCATCTGGTCACTTCGTTTGTCAATCAAGTTATGTGCTCGTGCAAGAATTAACCCAGCGAGTACAGTGGTTATAGCTACATTTTAAAAGTGTTAACATCACATAATTGTTTATATTTTCTACCAAAAAAAAAACATAATTGTTTATATATTATATTTTAACATATTAGTTTAATTTAATTTAATTATGAAAAATAATTAATAATTATAATTAATAAATAATAAAATTATTAATATTTATTATTTTACATATTAAAATTAATTTATAAATTAATGAAAAATAACAATTTGTGTTTCATAGCACTTTACACCCATCGGGGAGAAAGCAGAAAAATGGGTTTCAATTTTTTTATTATTTATTTCTAGAGCTATATTATTGGGGCTATTTCTGATTTTGATGTGATTAGACTGCAGCATCACTGAAATGTGCAGAAATTCATGATACTTAGCCTCAGAGAAACAACAATAAAGGACTACAAAATTATTGAGTGACCGAAGAGAGGAGTTTTCTTTTCCTTCTCTCCTTTGCATCCTGCAGCCTGAAAACCAAGAAGATTTTCCGTCCACATCATCATTGTAAAAGTGTCATTTCATTAATTTAAGTTCCAAGGTTCTTGTTTAGTGTGTTAAAACATTGTTTACTCAACAAAAGATATTTAATAATTCAATAGGAGATGAGGTAAATCAGTTCGGACTGGCTGTGGATAAAACAATGGTAAAAGAACAATGGAACATCTAAATGTTACAGTAAAACTAAAAAAACAATAGATCATAATGATTATTGGATAAAACACTAGAAGTCCATTTCTCCAACAATTTGGAGATAAAAAAAAAAAAAGATGATGATATTCTGAAGTGGGTATTTAGGACAATGCTTTCCCAAATCTGGAAGCAGGCTCTGGTCCTTCAGGGGAAGCCAGCAGCCTGGTTTCGGCTACATTGACTTTCAGATAGGAATAACGTCGAACACCTTCGAGACTAAAAAGGGCTTGCTTCTTTGAGGTAATTTGAAACAGCCCTCAAGGTTTGCTTTCTTCCCATAAAGACAATCGTTGTCCAAGATTGGCAAGAATTAGACATGAAATGGACAACCCCTCACCACAGCACCACCAACCAGCAACCGCCGCCGCCGCCGCCGCTCCTCCTCCAATTGGTTTTTTAACCACGTGCTCATAGCGCCAATCATCATAGCAAAGCAATAAATTTTTAACATTGAATTAAGGTTGACTTAAGGTGAAATAATACAGTGAGAAATTGAGGTACTCGATACATAAATTAGTGATAAGCACAAAAAATTAAAGCATTACCCATTTTCAAAAAAAGCACAAAAATTTAGAAGGTGTTTTTGATTTGATTGATTTTATTAGTGCATAATTTTTTTATTTTTAATTAAAGTATTTAAAAATATCGTGTTTAAATTGATTTCAAACTATTAAATGTTATTGGCTCTTTTGTCAATTATGGACGTATACCTAACAAATGTTCCTAACAATTAAGTCAAGCTTTTTTTCTTTTTTTTTTTTTTTTTTTTTTGAGAAAATGTGTAAATAAATATGTTAATTTTATAATTTTTTTATTTAAAAATGTAAATTTTATTTATTTTTAATTAAAGTAATAAATTTTTATTTTTTATTTAAATATATTAATTTTATATTTTTTTATTTAAAAATATAAATTCTGTATTTGTTATGTCATTATCATTATTAAATTAATCATTAAATAAAAAATAAAAAATTAATATTTTTAACTAAAAAAATTAAAAGTTTACCATTTAGTTAAAAATATTAAAATTTATATTTTTTAACGTAAGTCCACATGTTAACCCTTTTTTTTCTCCCGATGTCCAACCAAATAGCATATCGGACTCAGACTAGTTCAAAAAAAAAAAGGAAAAAAGAAAAACGTATTGCTTACCTCAGATTTAATTATTCTAATTTGACTTTAATGGTTTAATTCATGTATTTCTTTTAGAAAATATATTTATCAATTAAAATTATGTAAAAAATAGATAATAAAATATTTTAAAATTAAGTTATTTTAATAAATTCTAATTATAAAATACTAAAATAACATAATTTTCAAAGAAAAAATGAAATTATTTTAGCTTCTTTTCCTTTGAGTTTTACTAAAATTGTGTAAATTTAGAGTGTTTTTTACATAATTTTTTTACAAGTTCCAACAAATTTTTAAATAAAAAACACAAAATTTAAATCATTATTTTAAAAAAATAAAAATTTACCACTTACGTTAAAATTTTGAAAAAATTTGTATTCTTAAAGAGAAGATAAAATTTGTATCTTTACTTGCACATTTTTCGTGGACTTTATCATTGCATTTCCTTTAAAAAAAAAAAAAAGGAGCAATTTTTCTAAAATAAGGGTACCATAGATACCCTCTTTTACAATTAATCTGCATGAAAATTATATGTTTTAATTATTGTAATAAATGAATTTTTCAATAATAATAAATAGATAAAATGGGATAACTAAATTTAATTGAATAGCATAGTTATTTTTTTATATTTTAAGTGAGATAACTATATATTTTTTTACTTTAACCTTATTATCATCTTTTTACTTTAATTATCCATCTTATCATGATTTAAGTTTCATTGCTTTTATTTCTTTTCTTGGAGTAAGACCTTTATTTAAACAATTGTCTAATTAAAATAATTTACATAACATAAGTGATAAAATTAATAATAATTTTTTAATACTAATTAATGTGAAAAGAGTGTAATAATTATACTCTTAACATGTATCTTAAAGCATAAGTTAGAAAACCCAAGTAAAAATTATTTCTAAATTCTTAATCTAAAGATAAAATAAAAAAAAAATTTACTCATTCTATCCCAAAATAACTGTCATTTTTTTATTTTGAGTTTGCATCAAATTAATTATTATTTTTTATTTTTAAAGTAGACAAATATTTTTTTTTACTTTAACCCTATTATTATTTATTCACCTTAATTAATCATCTAATTAAAAAAATTTATCTTTATCTTTTTTAAGGGAATTATAAATAAATGAAAATATTGTTCTCAAATCCTTAATTTATGAAAAAAAGCAAAAAAAATTGACTGTTATTTTGGGGCAAAGGGAGTATTTTCTTTTTATTTTAATTGTACAATGGGAGACAATCATTTCTCATCTCTTATCCCACTCTACCCGCATATAATGTGATTCAAACTTAGGACCTGCTGCTTCTAACAGAAAGAGATAATTACTGAATTATTTAGATCGTTAGCGAGACAAAAGGAGTATTATTCTAGGACAAAAGAGTATACTCCCTTTGTCCCAAAATTACTATCATTTTTTTAATTGAAATTTATTTCAAATTAATGTCATTTTTCATTATTTAAGGTAGATAAATATTTTTTTATATTTTAACCCTATCATTATATATTTACTTAATTAATTATCCAACCACAAAAAATCTCTCTTTTATCTTTTTCAGTACTTCTTTTTTATGGATATTATAGATAAATACAATTATTATTTTAAAAATTTTAATTTAGAGAAAAAGTTAAAAACTGACAATTATTTAAACTAGGGGAGTAAAAA